AATTTTAAATAAATAATTTTATATAAATTAAAATTAAATCTCTTAGAAGGTGAAATTTAAATGGCAAATAACGTTTTTTATTTTTTTATTTTCATAAATTATTTAATATAAGTTATTTGAAATAAATACGAATTTTAATTCAAATTTAAATATTTTTTGTATCGATTCAAATAAAGATTTCATGCATTTTTCTGAATTTTACGTGTGTGTGTGTGTGTTTTTTTTTTAACTTTCCTAAAGCTCTTAAAAAATTACCCTTTAGTTATCGAAAATAAATCATAAAATCTAAAACCACTTTAAATAGTTTTAAATCAAATCTCAATCCCATATTAGATTGATAGACAAATAAAATCAAGCAGATGTAACTGCACATTTTCCCCAAAATAATACTTCATTCCAGTTTGGTTTTGGTGCTTAAGATAAAGTCCTTTATTGGCATTAAGTAAAATTCCAAGAGAAGAGACATTTAATTGTCCATATTATAATATATATATCTATGTTATAGTTAGAGATTCTAGGGGGCCATATTTGATAACGTTTACAACAATTTCACTAGGTGACAACAAGAAACGGAATGAACAATATAACTGTAAAGGCTAACTTGAACGGTTGGACTAGTCCATGAAAGTGTGCGCAGTGTGAGTGAGTGAGAGAGTGAGATAATTTGTGGACTGTGGTCCGCATACTCGATTTAGCTTCTTTCAAGCCGAACGACTGCCTCTGACGGCCTGGACGCGTCGCAGGAGGCGCTTCTTCCACTTGCAGAGAGGAGGTCAGGCACGCGCAGCCGCCAGACGTCGCCGGCTTCATTTGTCCGTCGCTGTGCCAGCAGGATGCGCCTCGCCACCATCCACGGATGCCGTCTGCTCGATGGCCTTGCCAGCACTGGGATCCGCAATGCTGCCAAAGTAATTGCCGGTGGGCTCGATGTCCACCACGCGCTCGACATCATCTAGTTTGGGTGGTGCTGGCACCGTCACCATGAGTATGCCGTCCGCCGAGAACGTGGCACGCGCTAAGGTGGCATCATAGTGCCTGGGCAGCTTGTAGCAGCGCGTGAATTCGCGCGTTATGCAGAGCTGCCCGTTGTCGGCCCGGTCGTCCGCCTGCTTGCCCTCCACGCAGATGGTGTCGCTGTTCTTGGCCTTGACCGTCAGCTCGGCCAGCTGGAAGTGGTGCACGTCCAGCACCACCTTGAAGGTGCCCCGTCCCAGCGAGTCCGGCTCCGTGCCCGTCTCGATCACCACACGGCCCACCAGGCACGAGCCGTGACACCAGGCGCTATCGTCCACCCGCAGATGAAACTCCCGCGCGCACACGTCCATCTCGTGGGAGAGGTAGTAGCGCCGCTGCCGGCACTTGGGCTCACCGGCTGACCAGTGCCGGCGCAACGGCCAGTGATAGTGGGGGCCGGCATGCCCATGCTCGTGCTCATCCCAGTCCCAGTCCCAGTGTATGGGCATGGTTTCGATACTCTATGTGCCTGATGTGTGTGTGCGCGTGTGTGTGTGTGTGTGTCTGTGTGTTGGGTTTCGTTGCACTTGGAGCAAACGCGTTGCTTTTTGGCAAGGGGCGCCAAAAAAACCGTTGTCCTCTGCTCGACTCTTACTCGCTAACTAACTGCACCCAGCTAGGCCAACTGCCTGTACCACTCGCCAGCGAATTATGCAAAGCTATGCCAATGCGAATGCTCCACGTACCGGTGCCAGGCCCAGCCAGCAACTGCACCAAATCACTCAATTCGCATATAAGCATTAGCCATGCAATGCCCGAAAGTAGAGCAGCCAGCTCCAAGGAGGGAATGTTTGATCGATACTCTGTTTGTCTGGCGCAACCCTTGCAGCTATTTTTATATATTTGCCACAAAGGACGCCCGATGGGTGGCAAACGCGTTAAGTGCCAGCCAGAAATAACATTACGAGCGGGTTTATGCAACTAATTGTGGCATTGTCACAGTTGCCCAATTCAGCTCAGCTCAGCTCTCAGCTCTCAGCTCTCAGCTAGGATGCTCTCTGCTCTGTCTACGCATTCGACAGCTAAAATGGAACTAATGAAAATCGTGACCTCCATTTGGCACGTCTCTCATATGTGAGTGAATCGGACGCATGTGGTGAGCATATACAGGGTTCTACATTGTCTGGAGATCTGCTCAAAGACGAGTTGATATATTTTAAGGAGGTGTTAAGCGATTCAATAGTCGTTATCTAGGCGTATAATTAGGGGCTCATCATCAATTCAGCTACGTATTCAGCAAGTCGAATAACTGAATCAGCTTTATAGCTACCAAATTATGTTGTAGAATGTAGCCATATATATTTTGTGAATAACTGTTTTAGATGATATTTCGCAAATGAATCGAAGGCTATTCCGTATTCAGCAGGGTATTCAGCAAGTTGAAAATCAGTATCTCATTTCTTTCATTATAATCTGGCAAGATTGATATATATATATATAGTATATGGAAGGACTAGACTGCATAATTCACTAATACATTGGAAATTAATCAAGCGTTATTATGGATTCAGCACGTTAAATATCAGAATTGAATTTTTTTCAGCAAATCTTGTTGTCAGTGTTAGCATATATTCATTTCATATTTATCTGGCAGCCATGCCAATATTATAGACTCAGCTACAATTTAAGTAAGTCGATTAACAAATTATAATTCCTGATAACCAAATTAAAAGAAGGAAAATTTTAAATAAATGTTAAATATTTTACTGTATGTTAACAGAAATTCACTGTTGGCAGTGCAACTGTTTACTCAACTTGAGCTAAAAGATAATGCAGTTATTAATATATAGCAGAAAGCTCAAACCGTCAAGAAATTGTCTTGCGCACCCTGTATATCATACATTGTACAGGAAAAAGTCTTGGCCGGAAGACAGAAATATCACATAGACATTGTCAGGACATTTGCAGCGCGAATGTTGTTGTAGTTGTTTTAGTGGCGTGTCTGGCCCCGAGCTGAGCCAATTTGTAAAATAATAAAATTTATATACATATATACACACATATATATATATACATATATCTATATATCTAGCATATTTTACTTATACTGCTATAGGAGGGGGGATCCTGACCCAGCGTTGCCAGCTTGGCTGCTGAAATTGAATTTGCGCTGTTAGCTTTACAGTTTGACAAATTTGCAGGAAACAAGCCAAAAGTGACTAAAGCTTCGCTCAGCTTGAATGACGGAGCGCATTGTCCCCTTCAGCTGCAACTGGAGAGTTTTTACACGAAAATTGAGCGGGCGGAGAATGGGTGGGGGCGGGGCGAGTTCTTGCTGATGGGTTTGTCGCAAAACTCTATAAACTTGGCCAAAAGTTTTTTGAGCAAGTGTTTAGATGACGACGATGATTAAACTTAAACGAAATTAAAAGTGTAACAGCATAAGCAGCATCAGACAATACGATAGTTCCTTGAATGGAGTAAACGTCTCGAAGAAATAATTTCTTCGTACTCTGTTGGAATCTACTTTAAGCTAAGACTTGGTGCGACTTTTATTTATATATGATGTAGAGAGTGGATGAGGTAGTCAGGCATGAAGTATGTGTAATGTATATATGTATATACATATAAATTATTTTAGACTGAATGTGACGAATGTGACGTAGAGAGTGGCTTAAATATACATGCGTATATGTCTATTGGCGCAGATTGAAGTTCTAAGGATCTAAGGAATTTCTCATTATTTATAGGGCAGCCTTAAGCCCACTAAAACTCTTTTGCTGCACAAATGAGTTGGACTTGAGTTGGTGAATTGTCTTTAAGACTGAACTTCAGAGCCTTCCCATTCAGAGGCTTACTAGGCATTCATTTAATGCGTCATACATTGATAGCTTTCCTATCAAAACTCCATTGGATTAAACGCAATATAACCCTTACATTCTATATAAGATCTCAAGGACCCAACTAATAAATTATGAATTTATGAATCTATTTTATGAATATGCATATATCAAATATCAAATATCAAATATCAAATATGAATCTATATTCTAAATGCACATATTTCAAATACAATAGTTTATTAAAATTTTCTTAAAGCTGATTCCTGCTCACTTGTTGACTATCTCAATTTTTATAAAAATTATTATAAAATGCCTATGGAAATTCAAGAGTAAAACACCTCCAATTGAAAATATTTACAAACATCTATGACTGGGCATATATACCAGCCCAAATGCTGTTAATTTCGTCAGCTGAATGCAAATGACGCAGATTTCTTTCAAAAGTTTTTCTAGATCCATTTGCTCATGTCTCAGAAATTAACAATAGTTTGTGATAAAACAAATATTTTTAACAAAAAAGAAAAGAAAAATCGTAAAAGTTTCTTAGAGCAAATTTTCAACTTTGGCAGTCAACAAAAAAGAGTTTGCATTCAGTTCGCTTCGATTCGCAAAGCGATTCGCACAGACCTAAATCGGCTCGGAGTTGGGAAAAAAAATTGAAAAGTTGAAAAAGTGATTTGATTTGATTTAATTAAAAATTGARCTTTTTAAGTGAGTGCAAATACGTTCGATTGCCAATCGGAGCAAATTTCGCACCTGAAAAGGTAATTTCTGTATCGGAAACATAAACGAGCTCTGCGAATGCGAAATATTTGTGTAGCCAAAACTAATTACAGAAATTTTCCCACCACGCTGAGGGCGGCACGATTAGAGCCAAAATTAATGACAGCATTACGATACACATACACACACATACAGGCAAACACACATGAGCGCAGGGGAACAAGGCTGGGCTGGGGCTGGTTAATCAAAGTGTCGGCCCTCGCTAAGTTGTGATAGCTGAGGGATGCGTTAGCGACGTGATTGGAAAATAATTGCATTAATTATCCCGCACAAGCAGCTGATGCTCAGGCCGAGGCTGTGCTGCTCTGCTGGCCTTGATTGAACAGCTGCCAACTGAGTCCGAATTGGTTTGTTGCCACTTAATGTGGAATTATGGGCGTGTCTGGCGCATATGCAAAGCCGCTTTAAGATTGACTGCCCCGATAGGTTGGCTATTTTCTAGCAGCCAAACTGGCCCAAGGTCCACGCCCCACGGCCCACAGCCAAGTGAAATCAAGCATTCAAAATTCACTTACTTCCGGTTATTTTAGTACGCAAAGTAGAGTCAGCAGTCGGAGCCGGAGCCGGAGGGGTCAGCGGCCCCGGTGCGGGAGTGACCCAATGCTTAGTCGCTTGTGTAATGCGGACTTAGTAAATGTCCAAATGAATGACTTCACTTGACTTTAGTTAAAATATTTACTCATATTTTGCACCCGGTCTGGGGAACATGTGTTTGTGGCTTTCCGTACAGCTCTAATTATTTACGCATCAATGCGTGCGCACTCTTTGCGATGTGGGTTGGTGATGATGCAGATGATGATGGGGCAAGGACCCGAAACACACATTTCATACACTCTATGTGCCACATGCCACATGCCACGTGCTACATGCCCCATGCCACCGAAGGCAGACGAGACGAATCCATAAATAAACTTTACAAAGTTCGGCAAACGGCTTAGAAGTGTCTCATGAATATCTGGCAAAATTTAAGAAATAAACGGTTTATATGCATATTATCTATGCATATATGTATTGTATATATTTATTTTATATACGAATACATATATATGCATTGGTGTTTCCCTCTGAAAAGGGACATTTTCATTCAATTTGATAAACCTTTGAAGCTATTATACGGCGGAATCTCAGACAGACAGCTGATGTTTGGCTAATGTGTGCCATTCGGCTGTTTATCGTTTCTTTGTTATTTTCCTGAGAATTTTTACCTAGCCTAAACAGAAGTTGAGCGCAACAGACTTGAAAATACTTTATACAAATCTTTGGCTTGAAGTAAAAGGAAAAGTTGTCAGAAAATAATTATATTTTTAATTTTTATAGAAATTTTATTAAAAAATAA